TCTCCCTTCGGCTGGCAGTGCACTCTCTCCCTGAAGCTTCAAATTCTTCTCTCGAAGGACATTGGTTGAACTCCCTTCAAAACTTCAAACCGTCTTCTCTCGAAAACTACAAATTCTTCTCTTGAAGAACGCGAAAAATAAATGCTCACCAAATGATGTGACTCACTAGAATTCTGAGACTCAAAAGTCGTGCAGAAAATAAGCTAGAAACTTTAATTAAATAATAGCTAATCACAACAGCTATCAAAATGTCTTTAATGCAAGCCGCTATACTCAACTTGTTGCAACAATTTTTACAACACTGCTGTCAAAATTGATTTGAAAATCAATAATGCTAATGCTTATAATCTTCCCATATAAGACCACACGAACTTGGACGTATTCCGACTGAAACATGGGTGATTTGCCCAGCCGAGCAAAATCTCAATTACAAATCAAAACTTACCGAAAAGGACCAAAAGTTGACCAAATCATATTTCTTCAAAGTGGAAACTTCCCAAACGATATATTCTACAGCAAATTAACTTATAAAATAAATATTCTGCAGCAAATCAAAGATCTTATCAATTTTCAACTTTCCAAAAACATCAAAAGTTAACTTTCTCCAAATCAAATCAAGTTAATTGATTCTAAACACTTTCTAAATAAACTTTCCCAAAACATATCAATAACTGCCATTCAAACTTTAATCAGATGAATCGCCAACACATGCCCAAAATAATGCCAACACCAAAAATTAATCCAATTGAAAATTCCCAACAATAATTAAGGCCTCTCGGATTCTAATGTAAAACGAAAAAGAAATTTTGGTTTATACGTTTATTGTTCAAGATAGACGCTAACTCATATAAGTACAAAACTATATTTATATATATGGATATATATGAACGGGGTTTTCAATGATTAAGTTCGCATTGTGTTTATCCGTCAAATATAAAAATTTGATGAAGGACGTGATATAATAATAATCTAATTTCATTAATTATTGTAAATTTTTTTTGTCAACTATAATTTTTTACAACCGTTAGATTAAGATCTTATATGGTTAAAATAATGATACCTATTGATGAGTAAGCATTATAATAACCATTAAAACAACACTCATATATGTGTAGGCATGAATTTTTGATGTAATAAACGCACAAAATACGTGTGTACGAATAAATATACACATACCGTTTATTTATTTTTTTATTTGAATGGAGAGAAATAACTTATCTCAACAAATTCTTTTATTATTATTGTTTATAATATATATTAATATAATTCGTCATTTTTAGATGTGAAATGACAGTGATTAATAGAGTGGAAAAGAATATGCATGGTATGATTTGAAGCCCACCCTATAATTACAGTATTATTATCTTAACAAAAAAAAAAACAATATTATTGTCCTAGAAGCTATACGATGACTTAGCATATTCTGAATTTAATAATTTGAAAAGTGATAGGATAATTTATCTTTCTGGCTTCTTCCTAAAAAGTCTGTGGAAATTATTCGTCATGTAGTACTTTTCCGAGGACTGTCGGTAAGGTCATTTTATTTTGGGGAAAATTTATTGGCTTTTTAAACAAAATAAAGACAAGATTAGGTGCAGCAGGTGCCTTTCTAAAATACTAATAATTAAAAAAAAGAGATTACTTTAGAAGCACATGTATTTTCGATATAATTATTCTCAATAATAGGTATTATGTATGTATGGTATGGTCGCAAATAAATTACAATTAGATAATCCGCCATAAACTGTGCGTTCTTTGCTTCTGCTTCCTTTTTTTTTTTTATTGAAAAATATACCAAACGCAATAAATAGAATATTAAGAAATTTTTATGTGGTTTGATAAAAATCTACATTTATAAAGACAAGCTCAGATATTGAATAACAATTCACAAACTAAGCACAGTTACAATCACCAATAGACTTAAGCAATTTAAAGACTTCCACTCGTAATTATCGCGTAGGTCTTGAAATAATTAGCATGATCTATTCAACGAGCACCACACATCTTTAATTTCTGCACAATTAAACTCGCTTCAATTCATAGATTATCTTTTCCCTAAATTCTTCTTCTAAAAAATGACGATTTTTCAACTCCCTTCAACATTACAGATGGTCTTCTCCTGAAGACAACAAACTTCTTCTCTTGAAAAATGTAGAACACAATCACTCAAAGTTATATGTGTGAATACCTTCTTGAAGACTGTCAAGTGTAAACTCTGGGTCTATTTGGTGCACAAGATTAAAAAAGACGAGATAGGATTAAGTTTTAAATTGTGTTTGGTGAATATTTTTAAAGGATTGGATTGAATAAACTTTTATCCAGTCTATTATCAAATCCCCTTAGAACGGGATGTTGCTATCCCCTACTAATTAAAGTATGAGATAACTTTTGACTAAAGCTTGTAAAAAAACATTAGGGATCTATTTGTAAATTTTTATAAAATTTACGGTCGAGTTATATTTTTTAAAAGTTGAGGGTTAAATTTCAATTTTATATGAGTAAAATATTTTTAAAATTATATTTTTGCCCCTCAAGTTTTGAAAAATTAGAATTAGACCCCAAATTTTATAAAAAAACTACAAAAATACCCTTATCCTAATAACGCAACACCAAATATGGGATTGGATTCAACTAAAATATAATCATACACTTTCTTATATATTTCAATTGATCACCCTAAAACTATACTATCCTATCCTACAGACTAAACGGGCCCTTAAAGTATTGTGTGTGTAAACCCCTAGAAGTCTTCAATCACATCTAATTTGAGAATTATATAGAGCAACATAAAATTCTATCTCAAATTTCATATACGGATCTCAAAATTTAAATGTTGTAGAATCTATTCAACAATTTATTGCAACATTATCAGTTCATATTTTACTCTGATTTTTAAAATAAATCGGAATCTTTATATGACTTTTGCTTCTAAAATCTTCAAGAAAATGTCCTATAATTAAATAGCAACTCCTTGGAATAGAACCAAAACCAAATTCTCATTTGAGTTGTTTTTCAAATTCAACTTAGATTAGAAATTTAGAATTATCTTTTTCAAATCTTATTCAAATACAGTAGTAGCAAATTTTCAGTAGATATCCAATAGATAATCATAATTTATCTTCCCACAATTTTAACTTATGGATAACCTATTTGAAATTTATCTCCTTCTTGAATTTCAAATTCACTCTAAACCACCTGAATACGTGTTGCCATATATGCCAATAAAAAAACATACTCTTGGCCAGATGAGTCGACTTGCTCTCAAGACATAAGTTACAAGAGCTTAGCCAAGCCCAATACGTTTCGGGCTTCCAGAAAGGGCTTAGCCCATTAGCCATGCTTTTTTTTTTTTTTTTTGAGAAAATTTTAAGTTTAGCCATTATTTTTTTTCCAACTCTCAATGCCATTACACAAAATTTTAATGCCACCACTAAAAATGACCTATAAGATAAGAAAGATAACCTGCAAGTTAAACATAACCTGCAGATAACCTGCAAGTTACAAAATAAATTTGTAAGTTATGAAAAATAACCTGCAGGAGGTTATGAAAGATAACCTACAGATTATTAGTGGTATAAGATGAATTTAACAACTGCAGGAGAAATAAAATAGTGTTATTTTATTGATGATATTTTTAAAAATTCCTCAATTTTAAAAATAGATCGACAATGCCACCAATCACACGTCAATAATTTTATACAAAATTACACATACTCCATATCATGGTATATTTTAAGATTGAAATTAGGCAACTTTAAAATCCTAAGGGCATCTTTTGGGTATTAAGTTTAACATTAATGCTTCTTTCTATTTATTTTTATATATCCCTGGACTCTGTACGTTTTACTATAATGTGTTAAGTTTATTTGTATGTTATATGTGTGTGTTTTGTTTTATTGCTTTTAGTTTATTTGTATGTGTTGTGTCTCATATCGTATTAGATGTATTCAGGGGTAAGGTTTTATTATGTCCTCTCTTGGTAGGTATATCTACTTTTTTTCAAATTAATAAAATTTGTACTCGTAGCTAATTAACTTAGACAAAATTTGTTGGGTTTCTTTACGTAGCCAATTAACTTAGATAAGTCAATATTTTGAACTAAACTACTAGTGCAACTATTTTTTTTTTAACTCTTTTTTAATTTCTATATTTTTTGATGTACTTTTACTTTTTATCTTTCGTTTTTTCAAATGAATGAAGGGCCAGTTTGGTTTATTAGTTCGAACGGTTTGAACTAAGATTCAAATTTTTATAAGAAAATGCTGTAACCCTTTTTATCGAACATGCTCCAAGTTTGTAATTGAATTCAATTCATTATGAGGTGAAAATCTCTCTAAAAGTCAATTAAATAATGTTCAGGGGTGCAAATAATAAACAAATTAAAAAAAGGGGCGAAGTTTAAAGGCTCTGCCCTCATAAGAGACACAAAATTAAGAAGACCAGTTAAGAAGATCAGATATCTAAGAGACATAAAATTAAGAAAATCAGTTAAGAATAGCATTTTTTCCTAATTTTCTCTCGACAGGGACAAGAAAATAGTTTAGAAAAGGATTCATATTATTTATCCAATTTTTGATGTATTAAATAGTGTCTAATCATTAAGGCCTCGTTCATTTCACTTATTCGAGTTTTTAGTTTTAAGTTTTTACAGTAAAAAGCTCTCAGAAAATGTCACATCTAATTTTTTCTGCTACAGTGAAAAGCTCTCAGAAAATATCACATCTCAGTTCGAATTGAAAACTTAAATCTGCAAAGTGAACGAGGCCAAGCATGAAAAAAATAAGTATTTTAAAATTTTTAAACGATGTGGTCTCATTTTGATCGCTAAATATATTTAGGACATCAAAATTGGACAATAAATCAAATCGTTTAGATAGCAATGTCAATGTGATCCTGATAAGTTGGACTTGGAGCAAAAAAGTGGGGTCAGTCAATTAATTACATTATTTGTACATCTCTTTAGTCTCTGTATATTTGCATACCACCCAGTCCCACTGGTCAGAGTCGTTTGATCTGCTTTATACACCGGCAAACGCAATCCCAAAGAAAATAAAGAAGAAAACGACACACATGGCTGTTCTTGTAGCTGAAAGCTTCAATGAGCAGAGATGGTCTCTTAAGGGTCAGACTGCCCTTGTAACTGGCGGAACAAAAGGCATTGGGTTAGTCCTTTTAATCTCATCTTTCTAATCCTTTTTTTTATTAACATTTTTCACATTTTTTTGTGTCTATTAATTCCCATAATTAGCCTAAAATTAATATTTTTGTAATCTCAATTTGATAATAATCATATTATAGACATGCCATAGTGGAAGAGCTTGCGGGTCTTGCAGCAGCTGTTCACACATGTTCTCGTACGCAAACAGACGTTCATGAGAGAGTAAAAGAATGGGAAAGCAAAGGTTACAAAGTCACTGGCTCAGTTTGTGACCTTACTTCTTGTGCCCAGAGAGAGGAGCTCATAAAGACTGTATCTTCCACTTTCAATGGCAAGCTCAATATACTTGTGAGTTCTCAGAATTTCTCTTTTTTAGTTCAGAAATGTTTATAGTGGAGACGGCTATTTTGTTCTACCGGAAAATTGTTGTTTTTATCTCTTGATTCATTTTTTAAAAATTAGATTTATGCATGTCGGCACTAAAAAATTTATAGTGAGTGATGCAAAATTATACCTACTGTAAATCAAACTGTTTAAAAATTAATCAAACGATTAAAATACAATTTTTACCGGTATAATAAAATAGTCTTTTACACTATAAATGCAGTCTCGTAATTTTGGGAAGTAGGTAGTTTGGCAACAAGTTTAGTGTGCGTTTAGAAGAGAGATTTGCGTTATAATTAGAATTATAGTTCGTGACTCGTTATAATATTTTCTTTCACAAAAAATACACATAAAATAAAAATAATTTTAAATTTATAAACTAAACATCTAGCTTGAATTTTAAGTTTGGTTTTGAAGGCCTCCTTACCCAATAGGCCTTCCAACTATTACCATTAGCATGAATAGTATATTCTTGTAGTGTAGTGTAAACAAATATCCATTATAGGATAATTGGGGTCAAAGCAAAGCTAACCAACACCATTTAATGGCAGCTTCTATAATTTTGACAGGTGCCGTTAGGAAAATTCAAAATTAGAATATTATTTTGAGGATTTTCTTCTATGTTTTTTTTTTTTTTTTTCAATGCAAATAATACTATACTTTTGTGAAAGTTGTACCTAACTGGCAACGGTAATATTTATTTATTTAGAGTAAGTGACACCATAAAAACTGAGTGAGAAATCCACTTTCAGAAGTTAAGCTTCATAAAACCTATCTGTTGAGGGAGATTTTGTTCATTTTAGAGTAATTTACACCGGCAGTTTTTTAATTATTTAGTAAGTGATATTTTAATCTCTTTTTTTTTTTTAATTTTTTGTAAAATAAACCCTCAACTCTTAAAACACGGCAATTGAGCCATTTCCGTCTATTTTCATTAATTTCACGATGGAACATGTCATATGCAAAAGAACAAAGAGTTGATTGATTGGAGACAAACTTGACCCCACAGAATGGAAGTTATCTCCCTTTGTCCCCCCTAGAATTTAAAATGGCACAAAAGTAAAGTTCGAGGTTGAAAGATTTAAATGATGTGATTCGAATCATTTTTAATTTATGTGTATTTTTTATGAAAAAAAATATTATAACAAATCACGAATTATGATTCAAATCAGAGAACGAATCCCTCTACTAAACATCCTCGAAATGTGGGTCAAAATGAAGCGACAAATATAAGAAGAAACAATTATGAACCATCATATCACGTAGAAAACCTGCAATAATTTAATATAAATTAATGCACATATAAAGTACAAAATAGTGTTTTATCATAGAGTATTTGTTCATACCCAACCTCATAAAATCTCCACAATATTGAAGTACAAGAGCCCGCAAAAAAAGAAATAAAAAATAAAAAAAATAAATTTGAGGGGAAAAATGGGATTTTATTAGGTCAAATTTTAATCCGCTAGAATAAATGGAGCTACAAAACGGGAATTAGCCTCAGGCTGAGCAACATCTAACACAACGAAAAGCAAATGAGGCTAAAATTTGAGCTACCTTACCAGCTCTAGAAACATAGCCACATTTTCAATTTAATTTTAGTTCATGAATTTAAAATCATAATTCAGAATTATTCTCGATTTACGTGCGTTTTTTGTGAGAAAAAATAATGTAACACGTCACGAATCATGATCCGAACCATGATACGAATTCTTACTCCAAACGCACTCTTAGAAATCACCCAGTGTTCTACTTGCCAGCTCCAAAATCTCCGCCCAAGGACGTTGACCTTGCTGATGCACCAACCTGTCCATCCAAATCGTCAAGCAATAGCGCAGAATACCTCAAGATCAGCACTGAACACCGATTGATGAAAGTTTATTTTTCGAACATTCATCTAACAAAAGGCATCATATTATCAATAAAATTACACGAGCATAATCAGTTCAAAAGCTTCTTTTTTTTATTTAAATCCTGGGCAATTGCTTGGGTGAAAGCCATATTATACCATGAAATATTGTTGTATGTCACTTTGACCAAAAAAAAAAAAAAAAACTAGCGGCGCAATGATAAAATTAATGAAAATGCCAAGTATGTTTCAATAAAATTAGTGACAGCTTCAGCAATCGATTTACGGTGCATTAGGTAAACAATGCGGGAAGCGTGACGATGAACAGAGCTACGGACTACTCTTTGGAAGAGTTCTCGTCTATGATGAGCACCAACGCTGAGGCCCCTTACCATCTTTCGCAACTTGCACATCCTCTCTTGAAAGCATCAGGAAATGGCAGCATTGTATTCATATCCTCAATTGCTGGTGTTACTGCCTTGCCTATCCTCTCTGCCTATGCAGCATCCAAAGGCAAGAAAAACAATCTTAAATTTCCAAGATACGAGTTTAATTTACATAACCTGTCAGTTTTGTGCAGTTATTTTTAACTGAAATTACTACTATTTCGGCCTTCAATTTTCTGCAGGAGCAATTAACCAGCTTACGAAGAATTTTGCATGTGAATGGGCAAAAGATGGCATTCGCACTAACACTGTAGCACCATGGGGAGTCAGAACCCAAGTCATACCACCTGTATGTTATATATATTATCATTCTCCATATCCCAATTAATTACAATTTTTTTTTCCTTAATTTATGTACTGTTTACTAACTTATCAAGTTCACTTTGATCTTTTTGTTTCACTTAAATAAGTATTAACAACTTCTTTATAAGATTTTGTTAAAATTTAACATCACTAATTGTTTTCCTTTTATAGCTTAAGACACGTCACTGTCGGTTTACATTATCATAAAACATTGTCGAATAATTACCAGCCCTAGTTTGCTCTGTTTAAGGGCTTTTTTTTTTTTTTTTTTTTGCAGTCCTAGTTATGTGAATAATCTGATGTGGTAAAATTAATTAATTATGCTCCAGGACGCCAGTCCTCGCATAGATGATTTTGTTGAGATATATAAGAGAACTCCAATCCCTCGCCTTGCAGAACCTAATGAGATTTCTTCAGTGGTGGCTTTCCTTTGCCTTCCTGCTGCTTCATACGTCAATGGACAGGTTATTAGCGTCGATGGAGGACTAACCGCGGGCAGTTTTTAGAAGATTCTATGGCTCCCTCTCGCGGTCTTGCATACAATAATATGGCCAACTAGTAATAGATCAATCATCCATAAATGATATTATTCTGATATTATTGGTAAAATATTAAGCTTTCAATGTGATAAAATCTGCCACAATATGTGCTTCTTCTTTTTGTGCAAACCAACTTTGAATTTGTATGAAGAATCCGCGTCATGGTAGAAATATATATTGTACTCTTTCATAATCGTCCATGATATATCAACATGTCGAATACAATCCTTCCTCTTCTTAGGAGTTATAGGCATTACGGAAAAAAAAAAAAAAAAAAACCCTAAAAAACCAAAGATTACAAAGGCAAAAAGAACATTAGTCACAATTTTTTTTTTTTTGGCATGAAATCGGTGGATCCAACAGTTTATTATTATTATTTTTTTTTGCATGAAATCGGTGGAGCCCTACTTTTTAACTGATGGATCAAATTTTTAAGAAAAGTCCGTATTAAAAATTTACAGTGTGCCACACAAAATCGCTCACGCCGTAAATCTGACAGTTAAAAAATTAATCCAACAGAAAAAAACAATACTCACTGTTGGGTTTTTTCTTTTTAGATTCCACCATAGAGGTCCCTATATATATATATATATATATATATAAACATAAGGAAAAAAAAACTCCTCATGTAACAACCTGAAGAATTAAACATATTTAATTATATTAATTATGATTTATTAGTGTATCTAATATTAATTTTTTTAATTAATCATATCATTAAAAATTTTAATTACTTTCAACTTTAAAAATACCCTTTAATATTTTTTTCCTTCTTTTTTTTTTTCCTTTTCCTTTTTCTTTTCTTTCTTTCTTTTTCCTTTTTCTCTCCCTCCCCCTTCCCTTTATTTTCTTCTCTTTCCCCGCAGACCCCCTGCTCTCTTTCTTTCTTTTTATTCTCTCTCTCTCTTTCTCCTCTCTTTCCTCTCACGCTGGCCTCCCCTCTCTCTTTTTCTCTAAACCGCCGGCCACCCACTCACTCTCCCTCTCTCATCGGTGTTTTTCCTCCCTCTCTCTCTTCTTCAAAAACTCACTCTTGTATTTGAATTCTTAGTTTAAAGAAGTATGATTTTGGTTAAGATTTGATGAATTTTGATTTAGGTTTAGATTTGGACAAATTGTGGTTGAATTTAGGTTGAATTTGGGGGTTTTCAGTTCTTGAGTATATTGAAGTGTTTGGAAACTGCTTTTAGTAATTTCTCATGGATTTATCTTGAAATCAACTTAAAAATGCGAGTTTTGGTATTGTTCTCGCTATTTTGGTTGCACCTTATACACTCTACTGCACTTTGTTGTAGCAAAGTTGTAGAAAAAACTGAAAAAAAAAAAGAAAAGAGAGAAGAAAGTTAACTTGAATTATGAAGTTGTTTGCAAACTTTGGACTCGAGTCAAGGCACACTAATAGGAAATAATTGTACATAATTAAACTAGATTCGTTTTAGGGGTGAGATCTCAATTCTAAAACACTGTTTTGATAACGAAGCTAGCGGCACGATTGGACGTGGAGCTTCAAGAATAAATGGTTAGACAGCATGAAGTTATCATGGACTAAATTGTCAAGAGGTAGGATGTTCTTGTCTACATCCTTGTTAGCCTGTTTTAAATATATTTGGCCTATGAAAACGTTTTAAAGGTAAAAACATATTTGAAATCATTGAAACCTAAAGAAGAGTTTTATATGATATTTTTTTAAAATGAGATATTTTAAGAAACGGTAACATACTGATGGCCTGAGAGATCGGGGTATGAAGATCGTATTCTTGGAGAAAGGTCCTGAAACCCGTACGGGCCACTACAGTGGTGATATCATAGCCTTGTGATAAGGCAAGTGACTCATCATGAACTACTTACTGTAATACGGACTTTTGAGACTTACATTTATTTATTTTTAAAAGGATGTTTAGTTTCGAATGACATGTTCGGACCTGTACTTCCATTTATTGATTAAGTTTTATAAAATTATATCCTATTGGGTCTTTTGCTCACTTTTCTTATGTTTTAAATGAATTTAAACCCCTCCCAGACGATGCTAGAAGTAGTGTTGAGTAGACGGTGATAATCAGTGAGGAAATCCACTCAAGAATACAAGAAGCTGTGAAGTGTTCTCTTCATTTCCTCTTATTTTAAGGCATGTATAAATTACGGATTGTAAATCTTAAGTTCTACTAGACTGTAGTTGATGTCAGCATATTACTTTTTTGTATTTGTTTATTTATGCACAATGTCGAACCCCTGTGGGGAAAACTGACAGGATGCCATATGCTGAACTTTGAATGGTTTTATTGTGGTTTTATGAAATCCATCTCACTCTTCCTAACACTCAATTTTCTTAAAATAGTGGTTTTATTGTTTAGAAATATCTAAATGTTGATAATTGAAAATGATTTTTAACATTATTATGTGCTTAACCACTATCTCAATCTATGTTTAATTTTTAAACAAGCTTCCACGTCACTAACCCGTGTTTGAGGTCGTGACATAATGTGTGAAGATAAGGTCAGTGAATTTTTGGGGGAGGGCAATTTTGGGCTACTTTGTATGGTTTTGCACAATTTTAAACAAAAAGAAAAGTAGACAAATACTCTAAGGGTGTATAGGTCTGAATTTTTACTCTTATTCTTGATTAATATCTTTTTTAATTAAATAATTATATTAGTGACAAGAAATAAATTGGGGCAAAAATCCTACTCCATGTAAAATTTGTGGTATGACACCTAATTTGTTGTCCGACACATCTTAACAATTTAAGAATTGATGAAATTTAAAGCATAGGACCACAAACAGAGGATCTCAGTCTTTATAGCAAAACCAACGAGAACAACAGCCACACAATTTTCCACGTAAAAAGAATCAACAAAATTTGTCACACAATTTCCTTTCTCTATAGATGTGAAAAAAAAGGGAAGAAAAAAATTGGTTTAAGCAAGGTTAAAGGACGAGTTCAATCGATCGTACCTGTTGAACACAACATTATTGGGCACACTATAAAATTGCTATTATTATTATAATAACAATAGTTGTTACAACAGGACCACAAATACAAGACTATTACAAACCCAAAATTGAGCACACTCACAAAGACTATTATCGACAACAAAGAAGATCTAAGATACACTACAAAACTACTTCACTCTATTTATCTTCCTAATTTTTGCTGCACATAGCCAAGAAATGGAACATTCCACACAATAGATTTATGAGCTTATTATATATTTGGGCTAATAAATTTATGGGCTGGTGATGATACTTCAATAGTAACTAAATGAGATAAGTTCAATGTTCTTTGCTTCATAACAAAATATATCACGCATTTTTACAAGAAAAAAATAGCTTCAATTATGACCTCAGCCTTCTTTTGTTTTTTGTTTTTTTCATGACAAACAAATTTAGCCAGCCACATATGACAGAGAAATTTGAGGCCACAAATTTCACTCGGCGCAAGGACAACAATGAACAAATTTTGAACCTTTAAAATTGCGCACGCAACGAGGCACGAGGGTGTGGTAGAGTAGAAAAATTTGATAAACATGGCCGAAGCGTCGAAAATCAACTCCGGAGATGAGAGGTGGAGTCTTAAGGGAAAGACAGCTCCGGTGACCAGCGGAACGAAAGGCATCGAGTATGTACTTTGCATAAAATCTTGTGAATTTTTTCCCGTATTTTTTTTTTTGTTGCGCTATGAATAATTTAGTTTCTTTTTGGCGTGACACATTAGACATGCCATAGTAGAAGAGTTAGCAGGGTTTGGGGCCATAGTTCACACATGTTCCCGCAACCAAACTGAACTAGACCAACTTTTGGATGAATGGAAAACTAAAGGTTTCCAAGTAACTGGGTCAGTGTGTGATGTCTCACACATAGACCAAAAAGAAAAGTTTATTGAAACAGTAACATCTTTGTTTCAAGGAAAGCTCAACATTCTTGTGAGTTTTTTCTTTGACTTTTTTTTAAGGTCTCCCCATCGGTAGGCTAATTTTTAACCGTTGACTCTGGAATTACATAGCATCGTTTACGTGGATAAAATAACAAGAATATAGAATCATGATTAGTGCACAAATACCTAAACTACCACATAATGACATAGTTACTTTATATTGATTAATGTGCTATACCAAGTGAGTTCCAACGATGAATGTAGACCTGTATACATTATAGGTAAATAATGTGGGGACAACAATTCCGAAGAATGCTACAGAATTAACAGCCGAAGATGTGTCAAAATTGATGGCTACAAATTTTGAGTCGGCTTACCATCTCTCCCAACTTGCGCACCCTTTGCTGAAAGCCTCCGGAAATGGAAGCATTGTGTTCAATTCTTCCATTGCTAGTGTCATGGCTTTTCCGTATTTTGCCCTCTACGGATCAACAAAAGGTATGTATGTACCTTACAAATTGCGGTTTGTTACATACATACATATAAACTGGGATCACCAAAGAAAATTTAGGTCCTTAAACAAACTGAGAAAAGCTTTGTTAAACCACCTGTACAACGAAACAAAACAGGAACAAAAAAATATCAGAATGCAAAACCAAAGGGAGGAAATAGCTTTTCTTCTCATGTTGTTAATATGTTCTTTTCGTAACTCGAGTTGAGAACTGGAGTTGTAAAACGAATTTGAATTTCAATTTTCGTGAAACAAACATTATAACAAAAAAAAAGAGAGTCGTGAAACAAAACATTAAAATTATTAGGGGGAGATTTTGGAGGATTCTAAACCTTGAAAGTGGTTACATCCAACATTGTTTTTATTTTTTATATGCATGAGCGATCAATCGACTTATAAGGAACTTAGCGTGTGAGTGGGCAAAAGACAATATCGCGCTGACAAAGTTGCTCCTTGGGTTTTCAAGACCCCATTGACAGAAAGTTCTTATGCAGTAAAACTACTTTTTCATCTATAATCAGAGGACTAAAAAACGTTATCCCCACATTCCCAAATTCCCAATATCTGCATAGTGGGGCCTTTTGTTCGTTACATACATGACCTTATCCAATGAAATGCGACATGGCAATTTTATTGAACTTTTCGCCAAGATAGATCACGTGTTTCTCAGAAAAGAAACTGACAACCTAATCACATATGGGATAAGGCCAAGTAAATTTAGGCCAATGATATTTTTGGGCAGCAAGACAAAAATGTAGATATCTTTTGCACCTTTAAGATAACCCAACCGAGTACAAGGCATTGTCATAAACCAAGAAGACAATTTTGGAAACATGACCGAAGGAAAAATCAATAGCAGAGATGAGAGATGGAGTCTTAAGGGAAAGACCGCTCTTGTGACGGGTGGAACCAAAGGCATAGGGTATGTACCCTGCATTGGTCTTTTGAATTTTCCTGTAATTTTATGAATCAATAGGATTAATTTTTCTTTTCTTTTGTTTTTTTGTTTGTTGTGTGTGGCACATTAGACATGCAATAGTAGAAGAACTAGCAGGATTTGGGGCCATAGTTCACACATGTTCCCGCAACCAAACTGAATTAGACCAACGTTTGGATGAATGGAAAACTAAAGGTTTCCAAGTAACTGGATCAGTGTGTGATGTCTCACATAGAGACCAAAGGGAAAAGCTAATAGAAACGGCTGCTTCTCTGTTTCAGGGGAAACTCAACATCCTTGTGAGTTTGTCATTTCTTTCGTAAGACAACGTATTTTTTAACATGAAAAATGATTAATATTATGGCAGTAGCCCGTTTTCTCAACCAATATAAAATGTTTTTTTTTTTTTTTTTTACCAACTACGCTGGTCATTGTTTAACAAATGATGTTTATATCAACAATGATATTAAGGTTCAAAATTAATCGTGTACCTATGAAAAAAAATGCTTTGTACAATTTAAACTATGCGGGTCAATGTGTAAAAATGTTGCTAATTATAATAATAATGATACATTGGTTCAAAATTGATGGAAAATTTTCTCAAAATCGATTGTGTTTGTGTACGTACATGTAATTAGCTTCTTGATGATTTTTTTTGCATTTAATATGATTTTTTTTAATTCCGTCTCTTGAACTTTTTCTTTTCATAATATCTATCTTGAATTACATATCATCATTTACGTGGATAAGAATATAAACTTGTGATTAGTGCACAAGTACTTTTTATCTCCTAAACTACCACTTAATGACATATAGTTACTTTATATTGATTAATATGCTTTATCATGTGAGTTCCAATGATGATTGTTGAATTTCATATAACATTTGCTAATATTACAGGTTAATAATGTGGGGACAGGAATTTTAAAGAATGCTACAGAATTCACAGCCGAAGATGTGTCAAAATTGATGGCTACAAATTTTGAGTCCGCTTACCATCTCTCCCAACTTGCACACCCTTTGCTGAAAGCCTCCGGAAATGGAAGCATTGTGTTCAATTCTTCCATTTCTAGTGTCATGGCTTTTCCTTCTTGTGCCCTCTACGCATCAACAAAAGGTATATATGTACGTTACAAATTGCGGTTTGTTACATACATACATATATATATATATATATGCATATATATATATATGTACATGTATGTGTACATATATATAAGGTTATTTCAATGATTATTGTTATTTATTTTATAATCATCAGTGGTTACAATCAAATTGAGAAAACAAATACATACGTTATGTATGACTTATAGCAAGTTCATTAGGAACCAATTTGTCATATAAGCATTAATAAAATGATTTTGTTTTTTTTGTTTTTACCTTTTTTTCTATTAGTTTTCTAGTAAATAGTATTGAAAAATGAAGGTCACGTCCCCTTCTATATTTATCCTGTAAAAATGCTGCTAAAGAGAATAGTGACAAATTAAGCCCAAAGGAATAAATCCATTGACAAAAGAAGAAAGAGAAGAAACAAGGGGGAAACCAAAGATGAGGCCTTTACCTTTTTTTTTTTTTTTTTTTTTTGCCTTTTACGGGAAAAGCTTTGTTAACTCAATAAAACCGAAAAAAAAAAAAAAAAAAAAAAAAAAAAAAAAAAAAAAAAAAATCAGCTCCTCAAACAAACTGAGAAAAGCTTTGTTAAACTACATGTACCGCGAAACGAAACAGGAACAACAAAAATATCAGAATACAAAACCAAAGGGATGAAAGGGCTTCTTCTTCTCATAGTTCACTTGTGTTGTTAATACATTTTTTTTACAACTCGCGAGTTGAGAACTTGAGTTATAACGCGAATTAGAATTAGAATTTCTACGAGACAAACAATATAGGAAAAAAAATTTTGAGTCGTGATTAAAATTGTGAACAAATCATTATAATTATTAGGTGGAGATTTTGGAGGATTTTTTACCTTGAAGAGGGTTACATCCAATATTATTTTTATTTTATATATGAAGGAGCGATCAATCAACTTACAAGGAACTTAGCGTGTGAGTGGGCAAAAGACAATATTCGTGCTAATACAGTTGCTCCTGGGTTCACTAATACCCCATTGTTGGACGCTTTTACGGTAAACTACCTGATTGATCTTCTTTTTCCATCAGTTTTTTTAATTCTACATTTTTTTTCTACATTTCTATTTTTAATAGAAACAAATTCTCACTAATGATATTGAGCCATTTGTCTCTGTATCCTAGTTATCTTTCAGTATCCATTTAGTTTCTACTTTCTGTGTAGGGAGATCCAAAAGTAGGAAAAGAACTTGTAAGTCAATTAATTGCTCGAACTCCGATTAGCCGCCCTGGACAGCCTAACGAAGTCTCATCAGTGGTAGCGTTTCTTTGTCTCCCTGCTGCTTCATATATCACTGGCCAGATTGTTTACATTGACGGCGGACTTACTGTGAATGGCTTTCCAATATCTCAGTAATCTTTTTTAGGTATTTATATAATTCTCGAAATAATTGATAAACTTACTCTTAAAGTGCAAGTGCATGAGTCAAGATTTTTATCATTTACCGTATGGAAGGCACCAGAACAATAATTATATTATAATGAAGAATTCATTTCCAAAGTAAAGTAATGATGCCACCATTTCTTGCTATTGTTTAGTACGGTTTTTTATGTATTGTTTCTCTCCTTTAACAATTACAGCTTTTTTTGTCTGTCACTCTATCTATTCTACATATATTACCTTAAAAATGAAAACAAAAAATTCATGATGTATTCTGTCTCTTCTTTATTTCATGATGTATTCTGTCTCTTCTTTAATTCATGATGAAATTAAATCCTGGCTGTGTAATGACAAGGTGTAATCGAAACGACCATTCAATTAAAATCAGTAGCACTTACATAAATAAATGTTGTCAAGATGCCTTGTTATTAAGCTCAAGATTTTGGCAAAATATAAAAGACACGTGCAAATATTCCACAATGGCCATTCCTCGTGGAGGAAATTGAGAGAAATCTAAAGAGAGACTAAACTGAAAATAATGGCAGATGTGAGAGGCTTGGCTGAAAATAATAATAATTTAAAAAATTGATTGGAATAAGAAAATAATGATAAAATGTTTGCAGTGGCAAAAACTTGTGAATTCAAATTTTCTTACTTATTGAATCTCAATTAAATCCTGCTGCACATGTTGGTTACTTGAGCTTAAAAATAAAAAGAAAGAGATAATAGTGTGAAGAAAGAAAGAGAGATGGAGTGATAGTTGTGGACAGAAAAAGAAAAGAGGAAGAAGAGGAAAGAAATAACAGGGAAATAAGACAACATATGCAAATGCTTATAAGGGCAAAAATATAATTTTGTAAGTGAAAATAATGGGGATTCTTTACTGTGGAACTCAAAAAAGTGTTCTGTCAGTAAAGTACTATTTTTTTCGTTGGATTATTTTTTTAACGGCCAGATCTGTAGCAAGAGTAATTTTGTGCGGCGCGCTATAAATTTTTTAATACAAAACTATACAGATTTAAACGTTAAAAAATTAATCTAACGGTTAAAAAAATAGTGCTCCACCGATGGAAATAAAGAATAGGGAAATAAGACCATATATGCAAATGATTATAAGGGGAAAAAGATAATTTCATAAGTGAAAATAATGGGGATTCTTTAAGGTAGAATGTATGTCACCTAAGCTAAATTCTGTAGTAGTGACAAGGAATAAGTTGGGGCAAATATCCTACTCCATGTAAAATTTGTGGTATGACACCAAATTTATTTTTCGACACATCTTAACAATTTTAAGAGTTGATGAAATTTAAAGCATAGGACAACAAACAGAGGATCCCAGTCACTATAGAAAAACCTACGAGAACAAAGAAATTTATTATGGACTTTGTGTCAATTATTGAGTAACATCATAATGTATCCAGAAAAATGAAATTATGACCACAACCTTTCTTTTTGTTTTCTTTTTTTTCATGACAAAGAAATTTAACCAGCCACATATGACAGAAATTTGAGGCCACAAATTTTGAACCTTTAAAATTGCGCACGCAACGAGGCACGAGGGTGTGGTCAAGTAGAAAAATTTGATAAACATGGCTGAAGCGTCGAAAATTAACTCCGGGGATAAGAGGAGGAGTCTTAAGGGAAAGACGGCTCTGGTGACCGGCGGAACGAAAGGCATCGGGTATGTACTTTGCATGAGATCTTGTGAATTTTTTTCTTGTATTTTTTTTTTTGTTGCGATATGATTAATTTAGTTTTTTTTTGGTGTGACACATTAGACATGCCATAGTAGAAGAGCTAGCAGAGTTTGGGGCCATAGTTCACACATGTTCCCGCAACCAAACTGAATTAGACCAACGTTTGGATGAATGGAAAACTAAAGGTTTCTAAGTAACTGGATCAGTGTGTGATGTCTCACACAAAGACCAAAAGGAAAAGCTAATAGAAACGGTTGCTTCTCTGTTTCAGGGGAAGCTCAACATCCTTGTGAGTTTACTATTTTTTTCGTAAGACAACGTAATTTTTAACATGAAGAATGATTAAGATTATAGTAGTAGCCGGTTTTCTCAACCAATATAAAATGATTTTTTTTTTTTTTTTGAAAATGTATATATCGAATTAGATTTTAACGTATTTTTTTCTCAAAATTGATTGTGTACGTACATGTAATTAGCTTCTTGATGATTTTTTTGGTTTGCATTTAATAGCTACAAATTGGATTTTTTTTTTTTTGAAAATGTATATATCGAATAATATGAGCACAAATAAGATAAACTTATTATTTAGGTTGACTTAATATGATTTTTTTTAATTACGTCTCTTGAACTTTTTCTTTTCATAGTATCTATCTTGAATTACATATCATCATTTACGTGGATAAGAATTTAAACATATGATTAGTGAACAAATACTTTTTATCTCCTAAACTACCACTTAATGACATATAGTTAATTTATATTCTTTAATGTGCTTTATCATGTGAGTTCCAATTATGAATGTTGAATTGTATATAACATTTGCTAATATTGCAGGTTAATAATGTGGGGACAGGAATTTTAAAGAGTGCTACAGAATTCACAGCCGAAGATGTGTCAAAATTGATGGCTACCAATTTTGAGTCGGCTTACCATCTCTATCAACTTGCACACCCTTTGCTGAAAGCCTCCGGAAATGGAAGCATTGTTTTCAATTCTTCCCTTGGCAGTGTCATGGCTTTTCCGTATTCTGCCCTCTACGGATCAACAAAAGGTATATATGTACGTTACAAATTGCGGTTTGTTACATACATACACATATATATATATATATATGCATATATATGTATGTATACACATACTGTATATGTATACATATATATAAGAATATTTCAATGATTATTGTTATTTATTTTATAATCACCAGCAGTTACAATCAAATTAAGAAAACAAATATATACGTTATGTATGACTTATAGCAAGTCCACTAGGAACCAGTTTGTCATATAAGCATTAATGAAATGATTTTTTTTTTTTTTTTTACTTTTTTTTTCTTTGAGTTTTCTAGTACATAGTATTGATAAAAAATGAAGGTCATGTCCCCTTCTATATTTATCGTATAAAAATGGTGCCAAAGAGAATAGTGACAAAGCCCAAAGGAATAAATCCATTTACAAAAGAAGAAAGTCAGAAACAGAAGAAACAAAGGGGAAACCAAAGATGAGGCCTTTACCTTTTTTTTTCTTTTTTTTTCGGCTTTAATGGAAAAGCTTTACTAAAATACTATAGGCGGAAAATGCAAATAAACTGGGAACACCAAAAAAAAAAAAAAAAAAAAAAAAATTCAGCTCCTCAAACAAACTGAGAAAAGCTTTGTTAAACTACATGCACAACGAAACAAAACAGGAACAACAAAATTATCAGAATACAAAACATTAAAATTGTGAACAAAATAAAACAGGCTCTAGTTGAGAACTTGAGTTGTAAAGTAAAGTTCAATTTGAATTTTCGTGAGAGAGTCGTGATTAAAATTGTGAACAAAACATTAAAATTATTAAGTGGAGATTTTGGAGGATTCTTAACCTTGAAAGTGGTTACATCCCACATTATTTTTATTATTTTACTTATTAATACTCCTTTGACTAATATAGTTATTTAACTAAAATAGATGTTAATCAATAATAAAAGATAAAAATTTAAACCTATACATTTTAAAGTATATTTGTCTCTTCTCTCCCTAGTACTTCTTGTAATTATGGCAGAACCACCTTATACCGTATGTTCCCGTATGAAGGCACCAGAACACTAATTATTTATTGTATAATGAAGAGTTCATTTTGCAGAGTAAAATAATGATGCCACCATTTCTTGTTATTGTTTAGTACGGTTTTCTATGTATTCTGTATCTTCTTATTTTTCTTATTTCTTTTATTTCCTTTAACAATTACAGCTTTTTGTGTCCGTCACTCTGCCTTTTATTTCCTTTAAAAATGAAAACTAAAAATTCATGATGTGTTGTGTGTCTTCTTTATTTCATTTCACAATTACAACACCTTCTTATTAAGTTAAAAAAGAAAACTAAAAATGATCGAATGTTAATCCTCATTTTATGTTAATTTTCGTCTTTATTTGTGTCCTCACTGAAATTAAATCCTGCTTAAATATATTACTGGCTGTTTAATGGAAAGGTGTAATGGAAACGACCATTCAAATTAAAATCAGTAGCACTTACATAAATAAATATTGTCAAGATGCCTTGTTATTAAGCTCAAGATTTTGGCAAAATATAAAAGACACGTGCAAATATTCCACAATGGCATCTGAAAAAGATTTTGAAAAAGAGGTTGCATAGCATTCCTCAGGGACGAAATTGATAGAAATCTAAAGAGAGACTCAAGTGAAAATAATTTTATAAGACCCTATATGCAAATGCTTAAATGGGGAAAGAGATAATTTTATAAGTGAAAATAATGGGGATTCTTGACGGTAGAATGTATGCCACCTGAGCTAAATTCTGTAGTAGTGACAAGGATAAATTGGGGCAAAAATCCTACTCTATGTAAAATTTGTGGTATGACACTTAATTTATTTTTCGACACATCTTAACAATTTTAAGAATTGATGAAATGAAAAGCATAGGACCACAAACAGAGGATCCCAGTCTCGATAGCAAAACCAACGAGAACACAATTTTCCAGGTAAAAGGAATCAACAAAATTTGTCGCACAATTTCCTTTTTCTATAGATGTGAAAAACGGGGAAGAAAAAAATTGGTTTAAGCAAGGTTTTTACGAGAGGGCATTATAAATGATTATTATTATAATTTAAAGTATAAAACTATTATTAGCCTACCTCCTAACCGTTTAAATTTTTGAAATAGATTGATAAACTAATAACAATAGTTGTTACAAGGATCACTATAAACCCAAAATTGGGCACTCTTACAAAGATCACTATCGGCAACAAAGAAGAACTAGGACACTACAAGACAAATTCACTCTATTTCTCTTCATAATTTTTGCCGCACATAGCCAAGAAATAGATGCCCACACATTATTCAAGTCTACTTTAATTACGACCATATAATAATATAAACCAATAACACACGTACACAACTTCTATTAACCAATAACACGTACACAACTTTAATCATATATAAACCAATAACACACGTACACAACTTCTATTAACCAATAACACGTACACAACTTTAATCATATATAAACCAATAACACACGTACACAACTTCTATTAACCAATAACACGTACACAACTTTAATCATATATAAACCAATAACACACGTACACAACTTCTATTAATTTTTTACAAATAATCTATACCTAACTTTGGAACATTCCACACAATAGAATAAATTTATGGGCGGGTGATGATACTTCAATAGTAACTAAATCAGATAAGTTCAATGTTCCTTGCTTCATATCAAAATATATCAAGCATTTTTTAAAGAAAAAAAAATAGCCATTTAAATGTTAAAAAATTAATCTAACGGTTAAAATAATAGTGCTCCACCGATGGAAATAAAGAATAAGGAAATCTAAATAATTAAAAGGCGAAAAAGATAATTTTATAAGTGAAAATAATGGGGATTCTTTACGGTAGAATGTATGTCACCTAAGCTAAATTCTCTAGTAGTGACAAGGAATAAGTTGGGGCAAATATCCTACTCCATGTAAAATTTGTGGTATGACACCTAATTTATTTTTCGACACATTTTAACAATTTTAAGAATTGATGAAATTTAAAGCATCGGACAACAAACAGAAGATCCCAGACAAATGAAATTATGACCACAACCACTTTTTATGGACTTTGTGTCATTTTTGTCAATTATTGAGCAATTATTTTTTACCACAACCACTTTTTTTGTTTTGTTTTTTTCATGACAAAGAAATTTAGCCAGCCACATATGACAGAAATTTGAGGCCACAAATTTCACTCAGCGCAAAGACAACAAAGAACAAATATTGAACCTTTAAAATTGCGCACGCAACGAGGCACGAGGGTGTGGTCAAGTAGAAAAATTTGATAAACATGGCTGAAGCGTCGAAATTCAACTCCGGAGATGAGAGGTGGAGTCTGAAGGGAAAGACGGCTCTGGTGACCGGCGGAACGAAAGGCATCGGGTATGTACTTTGCATGAGATCTTGTGAATTTTTCTCCTGTAATTTTTTTTTTTTTTTTGTTGCACTATGATTAATTTAGCTTGTTTTGGGTGTGACACATTAGACATGCCATAGTAGAAGAGTTAGCAGAGTTTGGGGCCATAGTTCACACATGTTCCCGCAACCAAGTTGAATTAGATCAGGGTTTGAATGAATGGAAAACTAAAGGTTTCCAAGTAACTGGATCAGTGCGTGATGTCTCACACAAAGACCAAAGGGAAAAGCTAATAGAAACGGTTGCTTCTCTGTTTCAGGGGAAGCTCAACATCCTTGTGAGTTTGTTATTTTTTTTCGTAAGACAACGTATTTTTTAACATGAAAAATGATTAAGATTATAGTAGTAGCTGGTTTTCTCAACCAATATAATTTTTTTTCTTTTTTTTTTTAGCAACTACGTTGGTCATTGTTTAACAAATGATGTTTATATCAACAATGATATAAAGGTTCATAATTAATCGTGTACCTATGAAAAAAAATGCTTTCTACAATTTAAAGTATGTGGGTCAATGTGTAAAAATGATGTTAATTATAATAATAATGATATATTGGTTCAAAAGTTGACGGAAATTTTTCTCAAAATTGGTTGTGTACGTACATGTAATTAGCTTCTTGATGATTTTTTTGGTTTGCATTTAATAGCTACAAATTGGATTTTTTTTTTTTTTGAAAATGTATATATCGAATAATATGAGCACAAATAAGATAAACTTATTATTTAGGTTGACTTAATATGATTTTTTTTTTAATTGCGTCTCTTGAACTTTTTCTTTTCATAATATCTATCTTGAATTACATATCATCATTTACGTGGATAAGAATATAAACTTATGATTAGTGAACAAATACTTTTTATCTCCTAAACTACCACTTAATGACATATAGTTAATTTATATTCTTTAATATGCTTTATCATGTGAGTTCCAATGATGAATGTTGAATTGTATATAACATTTGCTAATATTACAGGTTAATAATGTGGGGACAGGAATTTTAAAGAATGCTACAGAATTCACAGCCGAAGATGTGTCAAAATTGATGGCTACAAATTTTGAGTCAGCTTACCATCTCTCCCAACTTGCACACCCTTTGCTGAAAGCCTCCGGAAATGGAAGCATTGTGTTCAATTCTTCCATTTCTAGTGTCATGGCTTTTCCTTCTTGTGCCCTCTACGCATCAACAAAAGGTATATATGTACGTTACAAATTGCGGTTTGTTACATACATACATATATATATATATATATATATATATATATATATATATGTACATGTATGTGTACATATATATAAGGTTATTTCAATGATTATTGTTATTTATTTTATAATCATCAGTGGTTACAATCAAATTGAGAAAACAAATACATACGTTATGTATGACTTATAGCAAGTTCATTAGGAACCAATTTGTCATATAAGCATTAGTGAAATGATTTTTTTTTTTTTTACTTTTTTTTTCTATTAATTTTCTAGTAAATAGTATTGAAAAATGAAGGTCATGTCCCCTTCTATATTTTTTTTTTTTTTTTTTTTTTGCCTTTAATGGAAAAGCTTTGCTAAACTACTATAGGCGGAAAATGCAAATAAACTGGGATCATCAAAAAAAAAAAAAAAAATTCAGCTCCTCAAACAAACTGAGAAAAGCTTTGTTAAACTACATGCACAACGAAACGAAACAGGAACAATAAAAATATCAGAATACAAAACCAAAGGGATGAAAGGGCTTCTTCTTCTCATTGCTCACTTGTGTTGTTAATACTTTTTTTTTTACAACTCAAGTTCTCAGTTGTAACGCGAATTAGAATTTGAATTTCCGTGAGACAAACAATATAGCAAAAAAAATTTTGAGTCATGATTAAAGTTGTGAACAAATCATTAAAATTATTAGGTGGAGATTTTGGAGGATTATTAACCTCAAAAATGGTTACATCTAACATTATTTTTATGTTATGTATGGAGGAGCGATCAATCAACTTACAAGAAACTTAGCGTGTGAGTGGGCAAAAGACAATATTCGTGCTAATACAGTTGCTCCTGGGTTTACTAATACCCCATTGTTTGACACTTTAACGGTAAACTACCTGACCGATCTTTTTTTCCATCTGTTTTTTTAATTATACATTTTTTTTTTTGTTGAAAATGTTCTACATCTCTATTTTTAATATAAACAAATTCTCACTAATGATATTGAGCCATTTGTCTCTATATTCTAGTTATCTTTCAGTATTCATTTAATTTCTACTTTCTGTATAGGGAGATCCAAAAATAGGAAAAGAAACTACAAGGCAATTAATTGCTCGAACTCCGATTAGCCGCCTTGGAGAGCCTAACGAAGTCTCATCAGTGGTAGCGTTTCTTTGTCTCCCTGCGGCTTCATATATCACTGGCCAGATTATTTATATTGACGGCGGACTTACTGTGAATGGCTTTCCAATATCTCAGTAATCTTTTTTAGGTATTTATATAATTCTCAAAATAATTGATGAACTTACTCTCAAAGTACATGAGTCAAGATTTTTATCATTTACCGTATGGAAGGCACCAGAACAATAATTATTGTATAATGAAGAATTCATTTCCAAAGTAAAATAATGGTGCCACCATTTCTTGTTATTGCTTAGAACGGTTTTTTATGTATTCTTTTTCTTCTTATTTTTCTTATTTATTTTGTTTCCTTTAACAATTATAGCTTTTTGTGTCTGTCACTCTGTCTATTCTACATATATTACCTTAAAAATGAAAACTAAAAATTCATGATGTATTGTGTGTCTTCTTTGTTTCATTTCACAATTACTATACCTTCATACTAAGTTAAAAAAGAAAACTAAAAATGATCAAATGTTCATTTTATATTAATTTTCGTCTTCATTTGTGTCCCCATTAAAATTAAAACCTGTTTATGTTACTGGCTGTGTAATGACAAGGTGTAATGGGAACGACCATCCAATTAAAATCAGTAGTACTTACATAAATAAATGTTGTCAAGAAGCCTTGTTATTAAGTTCAAGATTTTGGTAAAATATAAAAGACACGTGCAAATATTCTACAATGACATCTGAAGAAGATTTTGAGTGAAGAGGTTGCATTTAGCATCCCTCATGGAGGAAAATTGATGGAAATCTAAAGAGAGACTCAAGTGCGGCAGAATGGCAGATGTGAGAGGCTTGGCTGAAAATAATAATAATTAAAAAAATTGATTGCAATAAGAAAATAATGTCAAAATGTTTGCAGTGGCAAAAAATTGTGAATTCAAATTTTCTTACTTATTGACTATTTTCTTACTTATTGAATCTCAATTAAATCCTGCTGCACATGTTGGTTACTTGAGCTTAAAAATAAAAAGAAAGAGATAATAGTGTGAAGAAAGAAAGAGAGATGGAGTGATAGTTGTGGACAGAAACAGAAAAGGGGAAGAAGATGAAAGAAAGAACAGGGAAATAAGACAACATATGCCAATGCTTAAAAGGGGAAAAATATAATTTTGTAAGTGAAAATAATAGAGATTCTTTACTGTGGAACTCAAAAAAGTGTTTTGCCGGTGGAGCACTATTTTTTTATCGTTGGATTATTTTTTTAACAGTCAGATCTGCAGCAAGAGTAATTTTGTGCGGCGCGCTGTAAATTTTTTAATACGAACCTATACAGATTTGAACGTTAAAAAATTAATCTAACGGTTAAAAAAACAGAGCTCCACCAATGGAGTATTTTTTTGAGGTTCCACACCAAAAAATCTCAAAAAAAAAAAATGTTGATTGGGAAATGATAATGCCCTGTTTAATAGAGGGATACGGTTTTTTTTTTTCATAAAAAGCTGGTTTTATTAACGAGCTATAGAAGTACAACTTAAAGTAGAAACATTAGAGAAAAACACAAGTCTCGTTCATTTCACCGATTCGAATTTAGAATTCGAGTTTTGCTATAGTAAAAAGCTCTCAGAAACAGTCATATCTAATTTTTTTACTACAATAAAAAGCTCTTATATATAATCACATTTTAACTCAAATAAAAAATTCGAATTAAGAAACTAAACAGACTCTTGACGGTGAGCAACTCTATTGCCCACATTGGAACAGGATTTACACCCAGCTTGAGTGAGAAGACAGTATACTCGTTATCTTTCGCAAATAGCTCCTCAATGGCCAATGAAGGAGTATCCTTGATAGCGGAAATTATTCTATTAGCCTTTTTGACGAGTGATTGGCATGTTAAACTGAGACCATCTTTAATGCAAAAATGTCAATTGTGTATTTGACATTAAAAAGTGTTATCATGATATATTTGACATGTTTTACTCCATGCATAATATTATTCCAATTGTTAAATTTACCTTTGATCATAATCATTGCGCTTTGTATGAGTAAACTTATATTTTTTTTTGTCTTTGAAATTGTAAACTTTTAATTTTTAAAATAATTAAAAAAACAAATGTTGCTATGATTAATTGAGAATGTTATATTGGCGAGAAATTTACTATAAAATATAATATATGATAAATTTAGCACAATAAATGATATTACGTTAGAGAATTTTATTTACACGTAAATACTAAATTTACTATTAACACGTTAATTATAACATTGAAATTGCAATTGAAGAAGATCTGAGAAGAGTAGATTTGGACTCCACCTGTCCACAACACAAGACCACGACACTCAAGTACGTTATCCCCACATACCCAAATTCCCAATATCTGCAAAGTGGGGCATTTTGTTCGCTACATACATGACCTTATCCAATTGAATGCGACATGGCAATTTTATTGGACTTTTCGCCAAGATAGATCACTCGTTTCTCAGAAATGAAATTGACAACCTAATCACGTATGGGATATGGCCAAGAAAATGGAGGCCAAAGATTATTTTGGGCAGCAAGACAAAAATGTAGAGATCTTTTTCACCTTTAAGATAACCCAACCGAGTACAAGGCATTGTCATAAACCAAGAAGAACATTTTGGAAACATGGCCGAAGGGAAAATCAATGGCAGAGATGAGAGATGGAGTCTTAAGGGAAAGACCGCTCTTGTGACGGGTGGAACCAAAGGCATAGCGTATGTACCCTGCATTGGTCTTTTGAATTTTCCTGTAATTTTATGAATCAATAGGATTAATTTTGGTTTTTTTTTTTTTTTTTTTTTTTTTTTTTTTTTTTTTTTTGTGTGGCACATTAGACATGCAATAGTAGAAGAACTAGCAGGATTTGGGGCCATAGTTCACACATGGTCCCGCAACCAAACTGAGCTAGACCAACGTTTGGATGAATGGAAAATTAAAGGTTTCCGAGTAACTGGATCAATGTGTGATGTCTCACATAGAGACCAAAGGGAAAAGCTAATAGAAACGGTTGCTTGTCATTTCTTTCGTAAGACAACGTATTTTTGAACATAAAAAATGATTAATATTATGGCAGTAGCCGGTTTTCTCAACCAATATAAAATGTTTTTTTTTAGCAACTACGTTGGTCATTGTATAACAAATGATGTTTATATCAACAATGATATAAAGGTTCAAATTTAATCGTCTACCTATGAAAAAAATGCTTTGTACAATTTAAACTCTGCGGGTCAATGTGTAAAAATGTTGTTAATTATAATAATAATGATACATTGGTTCAAAATTGATGGAAAATTTTCTCAAAATTGATTGTGTACGTACATGTAATTAGCTTCTTGATGATTTTTTTGGTTTGCATTTAATAGCTACAAATTGGATTTTTTTTAAATGTATATATCGAATAATATGAGCACAAATAACATAAACTTATTATTTAGGTTGACTTAATATGACTGAATTACATATCATCATTTACTTGGATAAGAATTTAAACCCATGATCAGTGCACAAACACTTTTTTATCTCCTAAACTACCACTTAATGACATAGTTACTTTATATTGATTAATGTGCTTTACCAAGTGAGTTCCAATGATGAATGTAGATCTGTATACATTTTTCTAATTATAGGTAAATAATGTTGGGACAACAATTCCAAAGAATGCTACAGAATTCACAGCCGAAGATGTGTCAAAATTGATGGCTACAAATTTGAGTCGGCTTACCATCTCTCCCAACTTGCGCACCCTTTGCTGAAAGCCTCCGGAAATGGAAGTATTGTGTACGTTACAAATTGCGGTTTGTTACATATATACATACATATATATATATATATTATGCACATACGGTATATATATACATATATATAAGATTATTTCAATGATTATTGTTATTTATTTTATAATCATCAGTGGTTACAATCAAATTAAGAAAACAAATAAATACGTTATGTATGACTTATAGCAAGTTCATTAGGAACCAATTTGTCATATAAGCATGAATGAAATGATTTTTTTTTGTTTACTTTTTTTTTCTATTAGTTTTCTAGTAAATAGTATTGAAAAATGAAGGTCATGTCCCCTTCTATATTTATCCTGTAAAAATGCTGCTAAAGAGAATAGTGACAAATTAAGCCCAACGGAATAAATCCATTGACAAAAGAAGAAAGAGAAGAAACAAGGGGGAAACCAAAGATGAGGCCTTTTCCCTTTTTTTTTTTTTTTTTTTG